GAACCTATTCAGAGCCAGGTTATGTGGTATCACTCAGTGGCCGTCCTGGAAAACCATCAGCCTGGCAGCAACATTAAAAAGTTCTATTCCATAAAAGAAAATTTTAAAGCGTACAGAAAGCAAAACTAGAACATTAAAACAAGCACTGAATGTAATTCATACTATTATCTACATAATTCTAAAGTAGAGTAACAAGCCACCACCCAAATACACCCCAATATGTGCCCTTTCACCAAGCAAACTCACGGCAAGCAGGTCCTGTGAACGTGGCCGAGAGCATGCAGAGGCAACTCACGCGTGGTCTGATTGACAACAGAGGATCAGGTTTTTAGAGGGCTACCTGCATTTACTATTCACCATTTAGAGGAAGGACAACTACACATCATCTTAAAGCTGGAAGAGAAAACTGGAAGCTAGAGAGAAAGACAGTACGGTCAGCTTTTACAGCCAAGAAGAGAAACAGATGGAATAAAAAGCAGAAAGGAATTCAGCAAGGGCACTCTGCCCCATGGAGTGCATAACTCACAAACACGAAAACAAACATGTCTTCAGAGACCCGAGCGCTGAAGTTGTCCTTGGCACCTTCAACACTAAGTCACTGGGGCTCTCCAGGAGGTGGGGCAAAGTGAGTCTTGGCTCACTGAGCCACACGTTCCAATAGGCCAGCTAGAGAAATGAGTGTTTACACACTACACAACGCACAGAATAGGGCCAGCAATAGCCTGCGTCTAATCTTCACTTGGGCGATAAACAATTTGTCCTTCAAAATCAAAACACGCAGGCTCAGTGTTTTCTAAGTCTTTAGCATTTGATTTGTTTGCTTTCCTGTGTAGAGCTTTGCACCTTCAGCCTATTACATACGTGTTGTTTCAGGTGACAGCACTGGTGAAACCATTCTCACTCTAGAACAGAGAGAAATGGCTGCCGGGTCGAGCCGTGAACTATGGCCAAGATGTCTTGATAAGCTCTGGTCATGTATTGCTCATGTTTTAAAACAGATGTAAAAACTGTTCTGCAGAAAACTGTTGGTTTGAATACAGTAGGTGTTCTAAAGCTGGAGTTGAAAGGTTTTACAGAGTGTAAGGGGATTGTCGACATTTTTTTATATTTTAAGTGTGTATCAGGATACACAATTTCCTTTTTCTTCATCTGGCCCAGAATTATAGCCAGTCTATAATGGTAAAATAAGATGTCATCATTTAATCGGTGGGAAATATTCTAATTTATGTTCTCTATCTTTGAAAAAGAGCAACAATAGAAATAAATGTTATTATATTCTCCAAAAATTCCTAAAATTCCTAAACTTTGACCCTGATACTTACTTATTATTATTATATTGCCCTCTCTTTAATGAGAGCTTTCACAAACTGTGTAAATTATTTCCTTACCATTTGCCATTTAAAATCTTGTCTTTATAATAATTTCTGAAAATTATTCTTCATATAAATAACGTGTGATTTTTAAAAGTTTGAGAAACTTTAAGTCACCTTCTTAAAATGAGACGTATCAAATAGCTTTCCAAGACTCCAAAGCTTGCTCAATATTAATTGCTAGCATCAGCTCTTCTAGTGCTCTGAAAACTTTGACCTCTATATCGACAGGGTTTTATGCTGGGAAAGGACTCTTGCATGTTTAGCAAGAAGCTTGCTAATCACACTATCAATACTACAACAGCCTAAAACACGAAGGCCTCAAGTGATCCTTTTGGAAACAAGGTGTTCCTAAATCAGGAAATGGGATTATTTTGTAATCTCTTCCTGAGTCTATTTTCTGGCTTCTTCCACACTGAGGAATAAAAGTATACACTTCTAAAACTATAAAACTCCATAGCAGCTGCCTCTCAAAAGGATGGAGCAGAATGAGCAACGAAGTCTACAGAAGCAGCAAAAATATTACAAACAAGCTCATTCTTTCAAAGGGCAACTGTACTGTTCAACTATAAAGCTTTCTTTTAATTGTGATTTTTAGCTTCTGTGTTGAAAACATGGTCAGTCAGGCATGGCACATATAGAAGAGAGAAAAAATTTCAACTTAAAACAGGTCAAAGAGAAGAACTTCTTCATAAAACCAATGGCCCCAAACAATAGCAACCCTAGCAAAACAGTCTACTTGCTTTACTGGCTCAATGGTCATTTTCCTAATATTTTCATCAATTATTGTAGAGGCTCCAATGTCCTGTGGTACCTAAAGTCAAATGATGTCTCTATCAACGACAGTAAGTAGTAGGCAACATAACCCAGTAAGTTAACTGCCAGCCCATTTGTTTCTATGAAAGTGCAATTTATGAAAAGAAAGTTAATTTTACGTAAGGTAAGTCTGGGTCTGGAAATAAAATAGAGCTGGCAAGGCAGATAAAAACACCACTTACTGATGGCTGCATGTTTGATTAAAAGTTAAACACGGTGATTAACAAAATCAAGAGTAGGAGCTGGAAAGGAGAATATAGTCTTTCCACAAAGGCTCTGTTTGGACACTGAAACAATAGTCTAAGTGCTTTTATTTCAGTCACAGTCATATTATTGCTATTTAGAAACATAAAGGGAATATAATATTATTCAGCGTGTAGTTAAAGAAGGTAAAGAATAAAAGCAATCATCATAATGCAACTGGTCTATTATAAAGGAAAAACTTCAATTAACACTACTTTCAGGCCCTTAGGCGTCTTTTTGTCTTTGTAGAGCTTCAGCTCTGCTCATGAATGTCTTTCATCTCATTTGCTTTCCTCAGACTGATGGCATTGGAGAGGTTTCCTAAAAGCACAGTGTGACATTACATCCACTCCATCTGCTGATAGAGAAAAAGTGTGCTGTTCTGTTTGTTAGAGGATTTGATACAGAATGGCTCAAAAATGCAAATAAGCATACAGGACAACTAATATTGGGGAGACAGCCTGGCCAGCCCCTGCAATCCTTCAGGGCAACTTTCTGCAAACTTCAAATTCCTTTTTCGTCACAAAGTGAACTACGTGATGACAGCTGGTAGACTCTCTGCTTAGAACATGTGCCTGTGGTCCCCCTGCAGGGAGGTCCAACCTAAAGGTCACTGGGGGCCTCAGAGAGTCAGAGCTTCCTTTTGAAGCTGAGAGCATTTTAGACCCCCCAGGGTTTGGCCATTCTGTGTGTGTAGGCCCTTCACAAGCAGCCCTTTTATCTTCTTTATTTGGCTAATGACCTGTGTATTTTTTGTTATGGCATGCTTTGGGACATCCGTGTCCCCAGTGGTAGCAGGATCAGTTTGTTCACTTCAGTCAGACTCTAACAGCTATGGCTTTAGACTCTCCATGAACCTGATTATCTAGAGCTTTACTCAACAACAAAAATGTTTTTTTTAATAGCAAAAGACCAATGGAAAGGTTAGCTGAAGACAGGTAATTTAAGGAGAGCCGCAAAGGCAAATGGGTAGTTACTTGATAAAAGGTAGGACATTTTCAGAGAAAAGATAGCTAAAAAAAATGATACAAGGCTTGAGACAATAATAATTACAATAATAGTCCTAACATTTACTGAGCTCTATTGTAATGTCTCTATGCTTTCTACAGATTGTCTCAATCAATATTCATAATGGCCTTTTAGGGTTGTCAGGACTAACATCCACGTTTTGAAGATGAGGAAGGATGTTTAGAGAAGTCAAGTAGCTTGCACAAGGCCCCACGGGAGGAACTAAAATCCTTTGCTGAACCAAAAAGCAGAATAATATTGTATGTCAACTATAATTATATATATATACTCCCTATACTATACTCCATATCCCGTGACTATATAGTCACGGGATATGGAGTATAGTATAGGGAATAGAGTCAATGGAATTATAACAGCTAGATACGACATCAGAGGGGCAATAGATTGGGGGAGGTGGGTTATCACTTTGTGAGGGGTGAAATGTATAACTATTACATTGTTTTGTTTTGTACACCTAAAAATAATTAAAAATTAAAAAAAATTAAAATAAAAACAAATAAAAATAAAAAATACAATCCTTTGTTGAACCAAGCCAAGTAAAATTTTGGTGTGACATTTGAAGTGACATTGCGAGATCTTGAACCCAAATTTGTAGCAGTACAGCAGTGGGTCAGAATTCCCAACCAGCCCTTTAAAACCAAGATTATGAAAAGAGGGAGACCTAGAGAGAGCTAGAGTCAGATCTCCGAAAAGGAATGGAAAAACAATCTGAATTTAATTAAGACACTATCTCAGCCCACAGACACAGGAGCAAAAGCAGAAAAAGAAAAGGGTGACAATTCTGTAACATTGCCACTTGGGTATAGCAACCAAGGAACACAATGGCAAGGAGATACATCTGAGGGCCACCGAGCACCACTTCAGATTAATAACTGCATGCTTCCATCAGTAACCCTTCCGTGTTGTTGTCTAAATTTAGATTCCAGGTACTATAACTAGTATCATTATTATTTACATCATGTTTATGATATCAAAGATGATGTCATAAACCACTCCTATCCTTAGAATACACGCTTCATACTGTTTCTTAGGAAAGGTTTATCCTAAACTTTCTACTCTCTCACCTGTTTTCCCTAAACAGCTATAGTAATTAATGAGTTTTGGCTTCCAAAGAGAAAGATTGTCTTTAATGTATTGGATACAATTAGGCAAATCCATCATTTGACCCTGAATTTCATATTTTGTATTCCTACTAAGGAAAAACAACAAATTTTCTATAGGTTGTGAAATGAATGATTTGTTGTACTGCCATGTATGCACCATGGGAAAAAGAAAACACTTAGCAACTGTACTGCTTCTCCCTAGAATAACCTTTCTTCAGACGACTCATTGTCAAGGACATGTGATGACTGTGTCAGAGCAATCAGCCTTCTCCCCTTTATATTTCAAAGTGACCCGCCAAAGATGCCAGAATAAGATTAGAAAGATATTTATTGCTCTGTTGAGTGTGGATAAAGAACTCTCTTTGCTGGCAGGGTAACCATAATTATTTTTTACCTTTTGACAGTTTTTAGAAGCTAGGCAGAGAGAATAGCTACTCACATTCTCCTTGTCAGGAATCCCTAGAAGAGGAAAAGGAGAGAGAGAGAGACCATGAATTGTGAGATCCACTTTGAATCAACCATGAATTGTAAAATGGAACTGAAATCCTATGCTGAATCAAAGCAAGTAAAATTTTGGTATTTCAAAAAAAAAAAAAAAGACCTCATAATGCTGCTTAGAAAAATAGCAACATCTATCAAAATCTGTAGCATAAATGAATAAAGGGGCAGGGGTGTGTGCCAGACAACAACACCTCATGCCAACTTAGCTTTTCTACCATGTGCTTTACATGGTAGAAATAAAATAGAGATAAAAATCTATCCCTGATTCATTTATACCACGTGAGCAACTAATTTTTCTGTCTTGGCCACCAGAGCACTCAAAATTTGAGACAGACACATCAACTCTAAAGTTGCACATAATGTAGTTTTATGTTTCAAACGAACTCACACTGCTTCAGGGATTGGAACCTATGGGTACATTGCACGTAAAACCCACCAGAATACAGCTTTCATTTGGGGCAAAGCAAAGTCCTGCTGCCTCCAAGTCAGCTCTGAGCAGGGCAGTGGCTGTTTCCAGGGATATCGCTTTTCTTAGCAAAAAAGTTAAACATTCATCCATTTGTTCGTTCATGTACACATTTCATGAGCACCTACTACAGGCAGGTCCCGGTCCTTTGCACTTCCGCTGGGGCTGCTACTCTGACAGACATAGAAAGGGAGGCCATAATGGAAGGCCCAGAGACCCAGCAGAGCTTCACGCCCTCAGTACAATGGGCACAAGCGGCCTTACATTGAGGAGACATAAAAGCACGAGTGGTTTTTATCCGTGGCTTCCATCTAGCTTCAAACCCCTGAGGCAGTGTGAGGTGGTTTGCAATGCAAAAATACAGTACATCCACATTCTGAGTGAACGGGACATTCTGTGTTTTATAAGGGGCTGCAACAATTTATAATATTGGCATTAAAAGAACTAGGTGCACATCCTAATAGGCAGCAGTGCAGTACACAGGAGGGATAAGAACGGAAGAGACTATTTGGAAACATTCCTTAATCAAACTTTGGCTCCAAACTTAGATAGCAACAGGGTATAAAATCTCAGGCAAGGAGCAGGGGGACAGAAAGGGGTGTCCTCTCCAACAGAGAGTACTAATGGGCATGTTTGCCATCACTTCCCAGACCTGTCAGAAAGAGTAAGGGTGGCCTAATGTTAGCACTCAGAAACTCATCTTGAATCAATCCCTCCCTCCTTCCCTCCCTCTTTTTCTCCCTCCCTTCACTCATCTATCCATCCAGCCAATCAACAACCATTTGAAAGGACTAGAGTGATTGGATGAGGAGATACATAGATCTAAAGGAAGCTTACTTTCTAGGGGGTTTAAGGTAGGTAGATACACAGTTGCACAAATCATCACAGCACAGCTGGAAATTAGGGTCTCTGTAGAGAAATAATACTGAAAGGGTGATTTGAAGCCATGCAGGACCTTAAAAGCTGGGCTAAAGCATTAGCAGCCTTGGAATTGTGCCTTCCATGCCAGGTCATGTACAAATATTAAAAGGTTTTGAGCAACAGAGTGATATGATCGGAAAAAGGAGGGAAGGGACTGTTCATAATTAGCAGATGTTTAGGACATAAAAACCAGACACAGTGGCATGGTCCCGGATGGGATTGCAGTTTGAGCAATGAGCTATAAACACATTCAGCTGGGGATATCTGAATATGAACTAGGTAGTGGATGTTATTAAGGAACACCATACTGGTTACTAGATGTGATAATGGTGCTATCGTTATGCATGGAAATGTTTTTATTTTCAAAAACACCTGCTGAAGTATCTGGGGTAAAATATATGTATATATGATCAAAAGAAACAATTACGCATTAATTTTACAATACACATTAAGTTAATAAACAAATCCTATTTAAACATTTAAATATTAAGATTAATTTAATCGAAGTGATGAACAGATGGGTGTTAACTGTATCATTCTGTATGTTTGAAATGTTTCAAAATAAAAAGTAAATTAAAAAAAAAAGTTCTGTGTAAGTCAGCTGTAGGGTAGACCAAGGGTGAGGTTCAGGGTTAGCTGGGTCATTTTGGCCCTCAAATCAAGAGCCATGAGGCCCTCAGCAGGTGGCTGTGGAGGGAACAGAAATGAAAGAATCGCAACATGACCAAGGAAGAAGCAAGCAACGGACAAGTGATTAACCCCAGTGGGTGGAGGTGAGAGAAAGGAGGGCTCTGAAATGGGTAGGGTTTAGAGCCTGGTATATGGGAGGAGAACAGTAGAGTCGTGAATGAAAATGAGCTTTCAGGAGGAAGGAACGGTTTTGTGGGGATCAGGATGTGTTCTGATCCTAATATTTTGAGTTTAAGAGGTCAGCAGGACATCCGGAAGGAACGAGAACTTGCAGTCATTTGCAAAGCTCAGCTGCCCTTTGGAGGCATCAGAGGTATTGGTTCCGGAAGTATTTATATTAATTGCGAGAAAGGATGAAGGGTCAAGGGGAAAGCACAGAGGAAAACAGCCAAGGCTGTCTGGGTCATAACTAGACTTTTGAATAAGAGGAGAAGTACCTGTGAAAGAGACAAATGGCCAGAGAGACATGAGACAACAAGGAGAAGGCAGTGGAGCCTGGGAACCAAGGGAGAATGGAGTCTGAGCATGGGAAGTCTTATTCAATTCAGAGAGAGAATGGGAATCAGCAACGACTGAGTCTGGTTATTGGCTGGTCCCTGGAAGCTGCAGAGTGGTTTGAGTCACGAAGTATGGGGCAGAAGCCAGGTTTTGAGGGGTTAAAGAGGAAATCACAGCTAACATCATCTGGGTGTTTATTATATATGCTTGGAGTCCTTGTAAACACTTGACGTGTTTTGCTTCATTTAATCCTCACAATAATCCTGTGAGGAAACCAAAGCACAGAGAGACTAAGTGCCTTGTCCAAGGTCACACAGCTAGGAGACAGCACAGTGAGGATTTCAACTCAGGTGCTTCTCATGAGCCAGTGAGCCCTAGATCAGCCAGGAGAGAAAAATAAAAAACAGGAGAAGGAAGGAAAGGACAGAAGAGAAACAGAGGGAGAGAGAGAGGGGCAGGGGCTACTCAGAAATAGTGAACCAGAGGGGAAGGAAAGCGAGGAGGCTCACTTAAGATCTCGGTCAAGTGGGGAGGACAATCACCTACAGAGAGTGACAAGCCTGGGAGTAAGAGTGGATAGAAAGATAGGAAGACAAGCTAGGAAGGAGATAGGAAGAGGATTTGAAGGTTGACTCGGGCTCTGAAGATGCTTGGAGTGGGAGTGCTGCCTGCCCCATCACTGAGTCTAGCTGAAGTGCTACAGCTTCAAAAACCCCAGCACTTGGTATCTTGTCATGTGTAAATGAGCAAGAGCCAAATATGGGGGCTCAGCGATGCCCTGAACATCTCCCAGAGATGGTAACAAGTGCTAAATAGATGCTTCCAACATGCACACACAGATAGACTCAGGACACAGGATTTCTTTGAGCCTAGTGGGCACTCACTAGAAAAGAGTATCACAGAAAAAAACTCCCTTTCTTTTATGATCAGACAGAGACTGGTCTCTTATACAAGGCTTAGAGTTTGGAGAGGCCATGATTTTAGAATAATGACATGTGCTGCTCCTCTCTTTGATCAATAACATCAAAATAAGCAAGAGGTGGGGCTCTCAGGTGTCTAGATGTGACCGGGACAGACAGTTCCTAAATTCCATTTTAAAAAGAGCACAGATTTCACTGGATTTCACTATAAAATGAAGAGATTCTAAGAAAGCATTCTAAGTATGCTGAAGTTCCAACTGGCACCAAAGCATACCTCCCTCTATCAGCTAAAACCACACAATAATACCGTGCTCACAATTTTTAAAAATAACCCATGTGGGCTGGCAGGTCTGTTTATCCACAAAGGCGTCTGGAAACTTATTCTGTCAAGCTGGTTGTAGGACATATTTTTTTTGTCACATGAAAACACACACCACAGGACACATTTGTAGATACAAAATGTTCACATGTTTCACTTACTGTCATTGTTAGATCCCGTTTCCATAACACCATAAGGAGGAGCCAGAAGTCCTGCCATGTACTGTCGATATTTCTGAAAGACAAGATTGTAAACTCAATGCACATATATTTACTCCCTTGGAGCATTCATTTATTTACACGTTAAAAAGCAGAAACACTGGGTGTCAGGAAGCATCCGAGTCTTGTATTTATAGAGCCATGAAACGTGCTGTCTGGGATGTGTGGTGCAAAATAAAGATGCAGTGTGCTAACGAGGTCTTCCTGAATAAGACTCAATATTCTCCGCGCCCAGGGAGGGGGTTTCTATCTCAGCCAGTTCATTTATGTACTTGTGGCTGATGAACCGGATTGTGTGGGCTTTTACCCTCCCTCCACCTCTTGCTTCTCACTCCTGCAAACAAATGCTCAGGTTTTTGTGGCATGAAAAGGCACGTGGCTTTTACAGATGCAGATACAAATAAATAGGTGAATGGCACTGAATCAGCGTTCTTTCAAAGCAAAAAGCAACACATCTCTGGAAAATGTCTGTTTTGAAAGCAGCTGATTTGCTTCCATTTACCTACTTCCTTTTACATCATACACCTACCTGCCCACATGTGACCTGCAAAGAACTTTTGGTATGCTGTCAAATAGAAGGATTTGGCTTCCTTTAGAACTCTTTGGATTCCCCTGAATTGTATCCCCCTGGCTTTTGGTCCAGGCATGCTTTCAAACCTGGGGCTCAGCAAATACTATCAGCCCCTGGAGTCAGTGCTATTTCGGAGGAATAAGGCTTGGTGGGCATAAAGCAATCTAGAGCCTCCGGCGAGAGAGGAGTGGCATTTATGAAGAATGGAAAATGAATATTAACATCCTCTCTTTTCAGGTAATAAATATAGCCACCTCCCCTTTCGGAATGAAAGCTAGGGAACTTTATTTATTGCATGGTGTCATGTATATTTATGGTTTATAATTATGATGACACATAAATATTAAACAGCCTCAAAAGAACCGATGCTCTGTAATGTGCTTGTGGGTTACACAAACGTCAGCAGAAAAGACTTCATCTGTAGCAATGGGCAGCTGGCAGCATGCAGTATTCAAGCAACCATCTGGCCCATTTGGTAGATGTGAATGGTGTTTGTAATGTAACATTGACTATTTCTCAAAAGAGCCTTCTTCTAATCAAGATGTGACTAGCTTTTATTTTTTAATCCTTTTTTGTTCTCATTCTGAGGCAACTCTACTAACACCTGCACGCAAACATGAAAAATCATGATTTTCTCGCCTCGGAGTTAACTCATCGCTCAAACGTCCCCACAGGACCAATCTATCACCCTGAATTCCTGACATTTCCTTTGATAACTTCCCAGTTCCAATTCACTTCTTTCTGATGACACCACCTATCCTTCTTCCTCACGAGAGAGCGTGGATTAAACACATTTCTCGGCAGGAAATTCTGCTGGACTCAGAACAAAACAGGCTCAGAGAGAGCAGGCAGGGACAGGGCTGCCTTGTAATGGGGCTTGTTGGCACTGAAGTGATGAACTGAAAAATGCGACATGACTAGATTAGTCAGTCTAGACTGTGGAGCAGTGCATATCCTTATAGACATTTAAAGGCCACTTCAAGCTTTCTGAGAAACAGAAAACTAAAGGGAATAAACCAAATAACCAAGGCCATGGTTAATAAGGCCCCCACATGAAAGTCAGCACAAGACCAACTTAAACCTAAGGACAACAGGTTTTAAGAGGTGACCCAGCACATCTCAAGATGGCGGTTACTCAACGTCACCTTGATGCTCCTCCCACACCCCAGCTGTGGGGGTGCGTAATGGCCTGGCTGAGTCCCCTGACAACGTCCTCTTTGGGGCCTTGGTGGACCTCTCCCTGCAAAGCTTTTTTCTGGATCTCAACACACTTTGATACTTCAATAACTTAAATGGCTTCACACAATCATGTTATTTTATTTTTTATTTTTATTATTTTTTTTTATTGGGAAACAGTGTGTTTTTGCAGGACCCATCATCAGCTCCAAGTCAAGTAGTTGTTTCAATGTAGTTGTGGAAGGCACAGCTCAGTGGCCCATACGGGGATTGAACCAGCAACATTGGTGTTATGAGCACTGCACTCTAACCAACTGAGCTAATCAGCCACCCCCACTCAATCATTTTTATATCACCATGTGTGCTGAGGAAGAGCTATGACTTTAACCGCCACAGACCCTGATCCACACCGTGGAAGGCCCCTGGCTAGAGGACTCGTCAGCCTTCCCACTCCAGTCCTCCAGGACCACTGAGGACAGTTAGGAAACCAGTTATACATCGGACCAGAAAACAATAAGGGCCTTCAAGGGTTTTAGAAGACATTGGTACTCTTTGTTCTTAGGATCTCCTCCTGGCTTTGTCACTCATCAGCTGGGTTACCTCAGACAATTCCTTCAAGGTCTCTGGCTTCAGTCTCTTCATCCATAAAATGGTGTTCTGAATTTGATCCATGGTTCTTATATTTTGTTCTACAGAACGCTGAGTTCCCCCAGAAAAGGGCATGATGCAAACAGAACCTTCGGGCCTCATGGCAACTAGTGTCTTTACTTTGATCTGTTTTATAAGTTAGAGTTCTAAGGGCAATTTCATTTGGAAGATGGCATTTGCATCTAAAAAAATAAAAGTTTACAAACCACAAGAATAAATAATCTCTAAACTTCCAGCTAGACAGAGGTCACTCAAAGATATCCATGAAGAATCAACAAAGACCAATTTAGGATCTGTCTAGGAAGTATCAAGGACCCTACTTTATGTTTGGAACATTTCCATGGTTGCAGATTGGCCAAGAGACAGGTTGCTCCATACCTGAAAGGTTTATGTCAAAAACAGGTACTAAGAATTTATCTGAGATGCACTCAGTGCAAAGCTGACCTTCTCAAACTGAACTGTGCAGACCCCTTGGTGTGGCACCCTGCAGGGATGGAGGGGATGTGAGAGGGGTTAACAGGAGCTCTTCCTGGAGCTTAAATTTTATTCCATGTCAAGTAGTTTGGAGGATTATTTTTATACTTTTATATTATGGAGTAGAAAGCTAAATTTGCATAAATTTTAAAGATTAAAAGCATGAGACTTCAAAGACATTGTGCGTTTGCTGCTGGCTGTGTTTAGCTACAAAGGGTCTACATCTGGGGCATAATGGATTGATTTCGTCTGCATTCGGGGAACTTCAATGGAAAAAAACCATGAACCTCTGATGTTATGGGAAGCGGGCAGATATTGGAATCACATAAGAAAGGGGTCTTAATACTAATTCCACCACATGCTACCTGTGTGAACTTGAGTAGGTGACCTACCTCAGTGTTCTGGCTAAGAAATCTGGGATAGTAACACCCATCTTTCAGGATCATTGGGGAGATGAGAAATAAAATCTGTAAAAGTGCCCAGCACATATTAGGCACTTAATAAATGGTTGCTGATAATAATAATAATAACAACAACAACAGAAATAATGAGTCAAGGATTAATCAAGCTATCACAGTGTATTTGATGATATTTCCCAAGCACACGGTCTTCAGCTTTAGGGAAGGGCATTCCCTACACGACAACTCCATTGCTCAGGCTGTTGATACACACGCAATATAAACACTCATGATACATCTACTGACCTGTCTGTCAAGTGGGGCTGTGGAGAAATAACAATTTAAATAACAGACTTTCTTAAACAGTTTTATAGGAGACTACCTATTTTTATATCCACATGGCAAAACAGTCCAAGGAGAAAGGAAGAGCATGAGAGAGCAAGGCCAGAAATAATTTAACAAAAATAAGCAATGCCTTTCCGCCACCAGAACTGTTTTCCTTAACAGGATCCTTTAAAAAAGATTACCCTGTAAATTACAGATGGCCAGTTTGTAAAGTAACGTCAGTGCCTGTGGTTCCGCATAGAGGGAAGAGGGAGGGAGTATTGTGGGGGTGTGGGGGTGTGGGGGTCTGGAGTACAAGGGAGGGAAGATGTCCTCAGGCTTAGGAGGCCAGATGCCCGTCCCTAAACTGAGGTGATCATGTGCTACCAGTTACACTAATGTTTTCTGAGAAAAGACAAAAGGTGACAGTCTCAGAAAGGTTAAAACCTAGCCCATCTCTCGTCCAGTTCATTGCCCCCAGCAAGCCACTGAGGAAGGCTGGCAGGAAGGCGGGTAGAGTAACTACCAGGCCAAGGGGTGCTGTGGCGAAATCCAGCTCTGCTCCATGGCCTTGAACCCTGGCCTGGGGCCGCTCCCACCCAGAGCAGGGGATACCTCTCTCTAATTTGCACGAAGGCTCCCTCCCTATGGGCCCGGAGCCAGAATACAAAAGTTGGGTGGTAACTGCTGGGGGAGGAGGCGTACTAGAGTAGAGATGTGCTACACTCCGAAAAGCCAATACGTTTGTAAAGCAGGACTGGCAGAGGTTAAAGGAAAGCTGGCAGCTTGAACCCTAGCTGGGCCCTCTATGATAACCGAAGAAGGGGTCCCAGGGGTGCAGGACTCCTCACCCTGGAGGTCACCATATTCCTGACACACTGTGTAACCTTTTCTGGATGTTCTCCAAGCTGCTGCCTGTTGCCAAAGCCCAGCTAAGCTACCAGCAGGAGCCTCCACTAGAGAGGCCAGTGTGGCACATGCTAGTTACCACATTCCTGTCTAGCCAGCAGCAGCCAGGCGGAAACCTGAGCTTTGGGCACACCCCTTCCCAGCAATTATACTCTCCCCCCCCTCTCTGATCCAATTCCCCTCAGCCTAGGAGATCATCAGATTTTAGGGAAAACATAAACAGTATGCTTAGGCTGGGATATCAGCACTAGAAAAGCGTTAAAAACAGGAAGCCATGACGATGAGTGACAGGCATTGGTGTGAACACCTGTGGGGAGGGGCATGTGCTCAGAACAGGGACATGCTAGTGAGAGCCCAGGGTGGGCAGTGTCCAAGATCGGGGAAGAACAGGGAGGGCGGTTCCAGGGGTGTGGGCTGATGTCTTGTCACAATGTCCCATTCATGCCATCTTTACCAGGTTCTCCCAGCGTATTAAAACTGAGTTCATAAAATGTTATGGCAAACAACTCATCTGTA